TCTAATGTCACGCAACTTGTCACACGTTATCATGCAACACTGAGCAAGGACAAAGGCTTGTTTTTCTTTTTCCTTCGGGCTAGGAGCAAACAGTAACACATCGTTCAAATAACCATCAGTTCACCTTTGAACAGAGCGATGGATTCCGAGCAAATAATAGCTCGTACCTCCGTAGCATCTTTAGGGACTTATCAACTTTTCACCTTTCTGGTATAATTCCTATGAAGTATATTCAGTTCGTTGCGTATGATTTTTTAGTGGTTTAGTTATATCTACTATTTAATCGGGATCCATTACTCTAATGATAGGTAAGCTGACGGTAATTTGAACGATGGTCTACTGTTTACTACTAGCCCAAAGAAAAAAAAAAATGAAGAAGCCTTTGTCCTTGCTCAGTGTTCCATGAGAAGGGTGTCATTTACTGCACGCTCTCTGAGAGTACTCTGAGCAATTAGTTGGTTTAATGTATCTTTGATCAAAAAACCGCAAACCACGTGTATGAAACCTCATTGGCTGTCGTTAGGAAAGTTTTGGAATTGTCTTGCCGTACAAATCGGTCTATTCGGTTGATTTCACGTCAAAGAGTGGCTCGTAGCTCCGTGGCATCTCTAGGTACCTATCAACTTTTTACTTTTCTCTTATAATTCTTATGAAGTATATTCAGTTGGTTACGTATGATTTTAGTGGTTTATTCATATCTACTATTTAATAAAGAAATTATTTCAGTTCGAGTTCTTCTTTTGACAACAAATGTTTAATCTTCCAAGGTCAGTTGGCCAGCATGCCCACTCTGCCTACTATAAGAGTAATGGTGTAATAATGACGGATGAGGGGGTGTTTTATTTGAAAAGAAAACTCTGATACAATCGTAATGACAGCTAAAGAGGTTTTATTCATGTGGTTTCCGGTGGTCGATCAAAGGGAAATGCGGGTCCTTGATGACATGAAATCAACTCAATAGACCGATTTGTATGACAAGACAATTACAAAACTGTCCTAACGACAGCCAATGAGGTTTCATCCACGTAGTTTGCGGTTTTTGATCACAGATACGTCAAATCAACAAATTGTGCAGATAACTCTCAAAGAGAGCATACAGTGAATGACACCCTTCTCATGGAACACTGAGCAAGGACAAAAGGCTTCTTTTTCTTTTTCTTTGGGCAAGGAATAAACAGTAGCAGATCGTTCATATCACCATCGGTTCACCTACATTAGAATAATGGATCCCGATTAAATAGTAGATATTAATAAACCACTAAACTGAATATACTTCGTAAGAATTATACGAGAAAAGTAAAGAGTTGATAAGTCCTTAAAGATGCCACAGAGTTACGAGCTATTCTTCGCTCGGGATCCCTCACTCTAATCATAGGTGACCTGATGGTAACGATTCTTTCTGGCGCAGACAAATTATGCGTTGGCGACGGAATTAGGCAACAAATCGGAAGCAGTACAGGTTGCTACGCTGCTTACAGCCATCGGAGACGAAGGTAGAGAGGTCTACTCGACGTTTACCTGAGACGACGAGAACGCATACGAAATAGAGCCCGGTCTAACGAAATTCGCCGAGTACTGTCAGCCTCGAAAGAATATACCATTCGAGAGATATCGGTTTAACCAGCGAAAACAAGAGCTTAGCGAATCCTATGAGCTTACCGAAGTCAAGGCTACCGAAGAATCTGATATGTATTTTGAGGAGACATATCAAACGGAAGAAATATCAGCAGTCCGTTTGGATGATTCACGATTTTGAATTAATGTCTTAGGTGAATGCTATATATAAATAGATCACTAAAATCATAAGCGACAAACTGAATACGCTTCATAAGAATTATACTAGAAAAGTAAAAAGTTGATAAGTCCTTAAAGATGCCACGGAGTTACGAGCAAATCTTTGATCGGGATCTACTACTCTAATCATAGGTGAACTGATTTTAATTTGAACGATGTTTTTCTGTTTATTCCTTGCCCAAAGAAAAAGAAAAAGAAGCCTTTGCCCTTGCTCAGTGTTCCATGAGAAGGGTGTCATTCACTGCATGCTCTCTTTGAGAGTTATCTGCGCAATTTGTTGATTTGATGTATCTGTAATCAAAAACCGCAAACCACGTGGATAAAACCTCATTGGCTGTTGTTAGGACAGTTTGGGAGTTGTCTTGTCATACAAATCGGTCAAGATAATCAGTTGATTCCACGTCATGAAAGACCCGCATTTTCCTTTGATCGACAACCGTCAACCACGTGAATAAAACCTCTTTGGCTGTCATTACGATTGTATGGGAGTTTTCTTTTTAAATAAAACACCCTTTCATGCATCATTATTACACCATTACTCTTCTAGTAGGCAGAGTGAGCATGCTGGCCAACTGACCTTGGAAGATTAAACATTTGTCGACAGTTTGGGAGTTGTGTATTCTGGATCTAATTAAGACTCACATGTATGATTTTCATTATAATTATATTGAACAAAAGTATGGAAAAAAAGTATAATTATTATTCATAGACAGACTCACTGACTTATGAAATTAAAACTGAAGATTTTTGGAATGACAAAGGTAAATTTGACTATCCTAAATATTTCAATTGATCATCATCCCTGCAATCTTTAGCCATTTGTTGAATAAAAATAGCCCAAGGTGGTGTCTGTTAAATGGAGCGGTAGTTGCGACACACTAGATTTCAAAAGGCTTCAAAAGCATTCTGTTCCAGCAAAACATTAAAATAGTCTAGTTCAACTACATGGTTCTTAAACCTGCAACATATGAATTGTAGCAAACTGGCAAAAACCGAACACAAATGGCATGCGCCGAACTCTTGGTTTCTCATTGTTCACATCGACGCTGCTTTTGATGAAGTTGTGCATTTCGAGACCGAAAGCTTCTTCGGTCTTCGGTCATTTTGATGTAAATATACCTGAAAGGACCTATTGAGTCGCATGCAAATTTAGTTAGTAAGTCGTGGATCAGTTCCCACCTTGTCAAGTTTTAAGAGGTCTTAATTTACCATCATCCATGCAACATCGGTCATAGCTTGACCACAAGAGATGGAGCTAGGGATATCAACTAAGGTATCCAACTAACCAGTCTTCGCTTCGATAATTACGGTTCGTCCCCCTTTGTGAAAGATCATACAAATTTGAAAACACATTTACTCTTACATTGGCGTTCTTTAATAAGCTTAATTTACCTCTTGACAAATATTTCAAAATCTATAAAACAAAACTTGAAAAACCTAGCTATGTTCTCTCCTTAAATGTGCACTAAAAATATGTCTGCGTGCTAAATGTCAAAGGCATGGTGCTCCACCAGAAAGTGCGAGAGTCCAGTTGAACTTCAGATTCTGTAACCGATGATGTACACATCGCTCCAATCTCGAGGTTCCAGCTTGCCTGCAATGTGCTTTTTCTTACTTTTCAGACTCGTAGGGTGATACAACTTCACTTTCAACTCCCTCTTATCCTTGACAGGAAACCACGCGTTGATGGAGTTGACAATGTTGACGCCATCGCCAGTGGCTACGTTCATGTACTGCTTGAAATCATTGCCACCGCCGCTCGTGAAAATCTCGTAGTAGCCTCGCTCAAAGGGGCCCTCTCCGATCGTAGTCATGAATGTATAAACGAGGACCTCTTTTGCTTCGGCTGGAATTTCAGGGAGATCGAACGAGTAGGTAATCTCAGATTCGTGATATCCTGGAAGTTTGCCTAGGGAAGCAGTTTGTATGGGGCACCCAGTCACACTGCATATTTTCGTTGGCCTGAGGCTTGCACAGAGCTTTCTTAGACTAGGAATAATATCGATGTGCAAAACTAAACTGGGGAGAGGCTGTTTTATTTGAAAAGAAAACTCCCATACAATCGTAGTGATAGCCAATGAGGTTTTATCCACGTGGTTTACGGTTTTCAATCAAAGGGAAATGTGGGTCTTTGGTGAGGTGGAATCAACCGATTGGACCGTTTTGTATAACAAGACAACTCCCAAACTGTCATGATGACAACCACTGAGGTTTCATCCACGTGGTTTGCGGTATTTGATCGAAGATACATCAAATCAACTAATTGCGTAGGGAACCACGGGTGGCCCAAGCTCCAGTTGTGAAATGATCATCTTGCGAAATAAGAGTCATGGCGATATTATAAGAGTTTGTCTGGAAATGTTTACGACCGCTCTTGGGAATGAAAAACAATATGGTCAAATTCTCCAAAAAAATACTTCACCTTACTTCCACAGTGTATCGCTTGTTATCTGACCGCTTTCTAAAGAACCCATTTTAGCGAGTTATCCATTTCAAGGTTTACTACCTACATAAGAGGGCATCTCTTACTGCACGAGTTACCAACCTAATTTGCATGCGAGTCAAGAGGTCCTATGAGGTTAATTTGAATCAAAGTGGCAAAATAGTCCAGTTCAACCGCAGGGTTCTTAAACCTGCAACATATGAATTGTAGGAAACTAGCAAAAACCGAACACAAATGGCGTGCGCCGAACTCTTGGTTTCTCATTGTTCACATCGACGCTGCTTTTGATGAAGTTGTGCATTTCGAGACCGAAAGCTTCTTCGGTCTTCGGTCATTTTGATGTAAATATACCTGAAAGGACCTCTTGAGTCGCATGCAAATTTGGTTAGTAAGTAGTGGATCAGTTCCCACCTTGTCAAGTTTTAAGAGGTCTTAATCATCCATGCAACATCGGTCATAGCTTGACCACAAGAGATGGAGCTAGGGATATCAACTAAGGTATCCAACTAACCAGTCTTCGCTTCGATAATTACGGTTCGTCCCCCTTTGTGAAAGATCATACAAATTTGAAAACACATTTACTCTTACATTGGCGTTCTTTAATAAGCTTAATTTAACCCTTGACAAACATTTCAAAATCTACAACACAAAAATTGAAAAGCCTAGCTATGTTCTCTCCTTAAATGTGCACTAAAAATATGTCTGCGTGCTAAATGTCAAAGGCATGGTGCTCCACCAGAAAGTGCGAGAGTCCAGTTGAACTTCAGATTCTGTAACCGATGATGTACACATCGCTCCAATCTCGAGGTTCCAGCTTGCCTGCAATGTGCTTTTTCTTACTTTTCAGACTCGTAGGGTGATACAACTTCACTTTCAACTCCCTCTTATCCTTGACAGGAAACCACGCGTTGATGGAGTTGACAATGTTGACGCCATCGCCAGTGGCTACGTTCATGTACTGCTTGAAATCATTGCCACCGCCGCTCGTGAAAATCTCGTAGTAGCCTCGCTCAAAGGGGCCCTCTCCGATCGTAGTCATGAATGTATAAACGAGGACCTCTTTTGCTTCGGCTGGAATTTCAGGGAGATCGAACGAGTAGGTAATCTCAGATTCGTGATATCCTGGAAGTTTGCCTAGGGAAGCAGTTTGTATGGGCACCCAGTCACACTGCATATTTTCGTTGGCCTGAGGCTTGCACAGAGCTTTCTTAGACTAGGAATAATATCGATGTGCAAAACTAAACTGGGGAGAGGCTGTTTTATTTGAAAAGAAAACTCCCATACAATCGTAATGACAGCCAATGAGGTTTTATTGTCAAATTCCTAACATAATTTGCATTTTGAGTTTGTCTATTATGGAATTACTTTCAAAAGGCATACTCAGTCTGCAATGTTTGCTCTCTACTTCGGTACCTTTTGAGTTAATGTTTGGAATTTATTGCAAAAGGCATCAAAGAAACCACCACAATGCTTACGAAACATTTCTCTAACAAATACAACTGTGAAAACCATGATGTCATTGATTTGGGTTAGTTGCGTTACAGCATGTAGGTTACGCCAGGAAGTATGTGCATCCTAAACTAACTCTTGCGGCAGCAGAAGTCTTACAGGTGAAATATTCATTGTCGCATGACGGTGGCCCAAACATTTTGTCTTTTTTCTTTTTCATTTGGGAAATTTCATATCAGTTGTAGGTAATATAATGTAATAATTGGACAGTTAAGCCTTAGTTACCTAAGATCGCAGTGCCACCATTAAAAGATTTTTCAGTCTTTTTTGTAAGCGAGCTGTCGCGTTTATATGGGAGAATTTTGTGCCCCGTTGTCATATGAAGCCATGGAGAGGAAAGAAGAATCGTTTGGTAAAATCTTAGATACCGAGTCAGCCTGGTGGACCATACTTTGATACAAAGTCGTAAATTTTTCGAGACTGGTGAGAACTTTGGTCCAGTATGTTGATTTACAGACTGAACTAAGCGACGTCTGTTGTAAGTGACTGGTGAGTTGTACGATGTATCAGCTTTCTGAAGGAATTGTCTCAGCGACAAAGCTAAAACTAAAAAGCTTGTATCAAATTTTGTTGATGCTGGCCAAGATTCTAAGCATTTGTGGTATCTGTGTAGAGTTACGTGCATAAATATGCAAAATCCTTTGTTTTATTTGCTTTGTCTATAAGTTTTTGCTAGAAGCATATATTAGCCTCGTACGAAGTTTTCAATACTTTTTGCAGTTAAAGTAATGGTTTTGATCGCAAAGAACTCATGAAACAAGTAATGTTTGACCTTTATATGGAAAGGGATGAACAGTGATCTTCACAGCTAAATCTTGATCAGGGCAGTTGTGGAAGGTAAAGCCTAGAAAGAGATTTAAGGTGGCTTTGTAGCCTAACTAAAGTAGTGCCAACGGGTATCTAGGAAGTACGGGCTAAAATATTTTCGAAGTTTTAATCTTTTTTTTTTCATGTTTTCGGATTAATTTCTCGCTGACTTAGTTGTGTTTCTTCTGTAGAATTTTTATTTGGACTTAAGACAACAGCATCACAGTTCAGGATAGTACCCCTATCACTACCAGGCAACTTGAGTCACTCATAAGACTCACTCAGGTATAAACATTAATTTCGCCATAAAGTCTTACTGTTGAATCAAGTATTAAGATGACAAGAAAAAAGGATATGATGATCACCATTTAAAGAAGTTCTTGATTGTTCAACGATGTCTCCTTGTCACTACCACAGGAAATTTTTTGTAGATAACAGTATGGAGAGCATGCGTAGTAATGTCAGTGTTGTACCATCAATGCTTGCGTCATTGCTTGTAATGAAAACATCTCCCAACAGAAATGCCCCAATATCGAACCGCAAAAATTTTTTCTTGCAAAACTTATAGAAAGAAACGCCATTCCGCATACAAGGAGGCGATTTGTAACGTTTACTTCGACCTCATTTTTCACCTTCACCAATACAATATGTCGACCTTTTATTCCGAGGATAGTACATTATTCGCAATTCGCTACCCAACTCAAAGGTACGCATGCGCGTCACCAGACGTCAGGGAAGCGCATCAACTTCAATTTTGACGTCATGTTGACATCTTTTTTGTTTCCCTGTTCAAATCTGCCCTTGAAGGCACGAGCACGGCTTGAGATGCGCGAAAAGGCTAGCCAACAAGACGCCAAGGATGTGGTGGAGATCATGAAATACAGTCTCCTGGACACGTTTAGCGACGACTTTGGAAATCTGGATTTTCAACGCTCTCAACATGGCTCCGGAATGAGCTCAAGAGCACAGGTTAGTCTTCGTATGAAAGGAGGTTCGGTACTCATCGTCACGTACCCAGCAAAGTCTGTCTTAAATAATTGACAGAAGAGCTAACTGCGTTCATTTTTCCTTCGTTCGCTCATAAAATCTCTTTTTTAAAACACAAGCAGCGAATTCGCATGGAAAACCCCATTTTGGCCACTAAGGGTAGAGCAAACGCCATTCTTTGCGGTGAGGCAGGTACTCAATAATGGTTTTATTCGCCTCATGGGTCTGTTGAATCATTCCTGTTATGGTTTTATCTGGGAGACTTTGTCTCAGTTTGTAAAGAAGGAGTTGAAGTCCGTGATTGCTGAATTCTTTTTATCTTGCAGTCAAAACGCTTCGTTGCAGAGCTAAGTCGCATTTCAGAGAGGGAATACAACTCACTTTTCACTGTTGAACAAATGAGGAGGGTAGCGAAGGTAACTGGAACGCTTTTCTTTAGTACGAACTTGCCTGTAAAATGCTTAATTTTCTAACAAATGAATACAATTGGAGAGAGAGTAGATCGGCTTCTCATATGGGCGCTGTTTATTTGGGATATATTTCCCTGCATGTTCCTCAAGTTAAGTTACACTCGTGCAGAAGAACTGAACTATTTAGTTAGTTTCTATGATACAGCCATGTTTTTTTCCTACAGTACCACAGTAACAAACCTCTAAAAAGTACAAATACTAAATGAAATCACGGATTAAGATTTAATGGCCGAAAGCGCGTCCAAAAAATCATGTTTCCATTCTTTTAATAATAAAAAAATAATAATAACGATTATCTGTCTTCAATAAATCAGAAACAACAAACGCGTAATTTTACAATATATTAATAAGAAAATTATGAGTATATTTAAGAATATGTAAAAATTGTTGCATTGCAACATGTAATATTATGAAGTTCCTTATATACGGTGAATTTAATTGAAGAGGCATCTATTAAGGAAACAATGCTTGAAGCGTTCGGTTTTAACTCTAGGTAATATGAAGTCTCCTCTTTAGGGGTAGAAAATCATGAAGTACGTGATCATCACTGATTACGTTCTTACAAAGCTTAGAGTCCCTATCTTTAATTTAGTCAAGTATAGTTGAGGGCCTTCTTGAGAAACCAGTCGATTCTGTCTAGATATTGTCGCTGGTAAGCTGCACCCCAAACTTCAATCCCATACAAGAATACGGACATGACGAGCGAGTTAAACAAATTATTGAGTTGATCTTTGGAAGATCCATAGGATTTGCATACCCTTAGAATGTACATTTGACTACTGGCTTTGGATAGCATATCGTCGATATGGATGTCCCAGTTCGTAGTATCTTCCTGAAATGTGATTCCTAATAGTTTTAACCATGGCATCCTTTTATTCCTGGTAATTCTGAAGGGGATAACTTGGTAGTTTTGCCGTGTATGCACATTTCCCATGTTTTGGTAAAATTGAGAGACATCTCGATTGCATCCGCCTACTTCTTCATGTTCTCAACCTCAGCGGGAGCAATATCTGCGCTTTGCCTAACAGGAACACTTATCTTTTCACCCAAGCGTGCGTTTTTTTACGATCAGGGGTCCTTTTTTTAACACTCCTGACCGTAACCTGTAGCTTGCCAACAGAATCTCATGAAGGAATATAATCGCTTGTACAGCCGTTCAAAACGCCTCTTCTAATTTAATGATAATAATGAAAGCCAACACCGAGGAGAAAGGGTCGTAGAAAATTTCACCACTTGGTTAAAGTATCCATTTGACGTTACAACACAACTTGAGAACACCCTTGCGATGTCCACTCACAAGACGGTTATTTGCCATGTTACAGTAAACTAGAAAAACATCGGGGCCACCTGCAAATGAATCAAAAATTGTAAATAACTGGGTTTCATTCCCTTCGCAGGTTAGCTAAATTGGTTTAGAGTTACTGTTGTGGGTATGGAAGGAGTCTATTCATCATTGTTGTCGTTTAAGTGATATCGCAATTTTAAGCTGGTATATCGCTAAAACGAACGCAAAAGAGAAGATTGCTTATCCAACCAGCGACATCTTCCTTTTATTAAAAATGCCTTAGAATTATCTAAGTGAGGTTATTCTTTTTGCCTTGAAGTTTTTTCTTTTGCCGTGACCCTTTTCTTTTTGCCGTGAGTCTTTTCGGTCCTTTTTGTCGTGAGGTTTTTTCTTTTGCCGCGAGATTATTTCTTTCGCTGCGAAGTTATTTCTTTTGCCGCGAGGTTATTTTTTTTGCCGGGACAGTTGTGGGCCGCCGTAAGAACGGGTCAAAAGAGTAGGAAAGACTGCATGGCTACCGGAATACACACGGAATGGTAAGCAGGGCTAATTATTTCCTTTGTGCTTTTCCTTTAACTTTTGGAGAGATTTCCGTCGAACCCCATATTATTCTAAAACAAAGCCGTAGTCTTAAAGGTAATCCGCGACTTTGTCCTCGTTGTCTTGTAACAAAAAAATAATCGTATCGTTCCATATATTTTTCTTTTGCTCCATCGATGTTTGCGAAAGAAAGTTAATTTTCTTAGTTCATTTATTTGATTCTGTATGTTGATATACACACTTTTCCTATCATATATTTATTTGTTTGTTTGTTTGTTTTTTATCCAAAAATATATCTGTTTATCTATCGTTGGGAATGAGGAATCAAGAAATTATCTCAGTAATCGCTGTAGGTTCACTTCCGTCACGTGAGAATATCGTTTCCGGTAAGGTCATAAGACTGTCACGCAATGTCAAGTTGCGTAAGTGGTTAGAGTTGAGAAGCAATTTAAGAAGCCTTTCGTCGATCTTAAGATGATTAGGAGCAGGAAAACGAACGCTACTGCAACAGAGTCGTCTATGGAGGAGAAGGAAGAAAATCCCGGAGTGAAAGGTACGATTACGAAACATTTTATAGCAAAATCTAGCGACAAAAAATTGCACAATCTTTCGATTTTAGATGGCGCTGGTGCCAGGTGTTCCTTAATGTAAATATTTCAAATTGGTAGTTCTTACTTCAAATCGCCCTTGGACCGTTTTTATTTGCTTCATTTAAAAAAAAACCAAGCCGGCACTGATATATTTGGCTATTTGGTCAACCGAAACTAAATCTTATCCTTCCTTCAACACGAGTTCACGTCAAGCAGATAAGCGCTGACCCGTGAAGTTCGCGGTCAATCGGCTACTTGCAATCGGGCAAGCTGCCAAAATCTTCGATCTGGCGACGGAATTTTAATAACAGCGTTACTGTGGAGAAATAAACAAGTAGAAAATTTTGGTTTGGTATCTTTTCGTCAAATTTAGGCAAAGCGAGCAGACAAGGACGTGACAGGTGGGGGAGGAGCAGGAACGTGTCGAATTCCTTTTATGGTACCTACCCCTCCCCCTCTAAAATATTCTTTATAATAACGGTTTGACTGTATCACTCTGGTTTCCATTAAACACGCAAATTATTTAGAAGTGCAAATATATGCGGTAAGCAATACCTTACGCTCGTGAAAAACATAACTCGTGTCTTCATAAGTTTTGATTTGTTCGTTTTACCAGATTTGGATGGCGAGGAGACTGGAAACCAATCTGATGGTTTGCACACGAAGACACGACACGGCGACAATGGAAGGAATAGTGATGTGAACTATGGACCTGTTATTACAGTTCTAAAAGCTTTCATTTTGTCCATTTTAGCAATGTTTTCGGCCGGATTTAATGCCCTGAGGGGATTGCCGAGGTATGTCTCTAGATCTGGCTTTGGAAAATATTTTTATTCACCCTCAACTCGATCGACGAGTGCGGCCATGACCAAAGGGATACAATATCAGGATTCGGAAAACACTCGTCCATTTTCATGTTCTGCAGCCCGGTTTGATCCACAAAAACTCCGTGATGTATGGGGTAAACCATCCTTTGATGTGGCGAAAATGACCCATCTGTTGGATCACGATAACCACGACAAGAGAGCGAAATTTCGCAAAATCTTTTCTGAGGATCCTTTGATGACCCCAAAATACAACATTTCCTTGGACGAAGAGAGAGACTTAGCCTTGAAGAGACTGAAGACACTCTGCAACCAAGGATTTATTTCCGTGTTAGACTTCAAAAGCAACCCTCACTGGATCTTTGCAGCCCACGAAATGGCCGCCGTAGTAGATGCGGCAATGGCTACCAAAATGACGGTCCAGTTTAACTTGTTTGGTGGTACTGTGTTGAAGCTGGGCACAGAAAGACACCATGACAAACTATTAGAGGTAGGAACTTTTTACTCGTTTTTCGATTTAGTCAGAGTATTGCTATTTGGTCTTATAAGCCTTACATCCTAATTAATATCAGCTTCTATATTCTTCGTAATCTTACGTAATCTTATATGCCTTGCATCTTATCAACAGCTTCTATTTCCTCCGTAATCTTTTACGCCTTACACTTTAACATTAGCATCTATTTTCCCCCTAATCTTCTCTGTACATATCCTTTGGCTCTGACTAGGAGAATTCATTTGGTGATCATTTCCTTTATTCTCATGGTTTTCATAAATGATTAAGCAGAAATATTGTAAGGAGAAATTAGACACTGGTCACTCTTAGGGTATTTTTGTTTCCACTTATAACAACACCTTTGCCTTTTCAGAAAGTAAGCTTTTTTTACCCTCTCTATGAATTTAACCCTTTAACTCCAGATCAAATTTGTAATTCTCCTTATTGTCAACCATACAATTCTTACAATATTTGTTCAGGGAATTTACTATTGGATCAACTAATTATCCCCAAATTGACATTTTTCTTTATTCTCATCACTTATCTGGTTGTTATTGTATTGATATTGTAAGGAGAAACTCTTTCTTGGTCACTCATGGGAGTTAAAGGGTTAATGTTGTTTCTAATTGTATATTTGTAAATGATGTATTCATCTACGTGATGAATATGACTGTTAATTGACTAAAAATGAAGGAAAGATTACCATGCCTCTGAACTGGCAAGAGAACATGGATTTCTATAGTTGTTGTAAAATGATTAGCAATTTGCTTAAGATTTTTATTGCATCAATCTGCATGCATCTGTGCTCTTAGCAACAGCAATATTCTTCATTTGTCATGTTGGACTCACTTGGCTGTAGCTTTGACCACAGTGATGACAAATATTGTTGTCTGTGAGAGTACACACCAGGCTATACCACAGTTGACTTTTTTAATTTACTACAACATCTATGTCAAAATTTCCAAGTCATCCATGTTTAAGAGGTGACAAAGGTATTATGTGACACATTAACATGGGTAAGGTTGTCGGTACTCTTTTCAACAGTGGGAAATTTGCCAAGCAGATTGCGACATTACTGCCAATTGTAGTAAAAAGTTTTTTTTGACTTAAGAACTGATGGCAAGGCCTCTCTTTTCTTTTTGATAAACCAAGGGTATTGATTCATTGGAAGATGTGGGCTGTTTTGGTCTGACAGAACTTGGATACGGAAACAATGCAGTACAGATGGAGACAACAGCCACATATGACAAGGAGACCAAGGAGTTCATTGTCAACACACCAAATGCACTGGCACAGAAATATTGGATCACCAATGGTGCTTGCCATGCCCATCATGTCATTGTCTTCTCTCAGCTTTATATTGATGGTGTCAATCAAGGTAGGAAAATGTCAAGGTTAATTCAATGAATAGATATTTTATACTCTCACTTTTCAGTTGTGAAAGCTAGAGTTTGTATTCAGGGCTCTTAACCATTATTATTTCATGATTCACACCTTTTCTTTTGTTATTGAACAATCTTTATTTGACCTACTACCCTGTTGAATATTAACAAACTGAAAGTTCGGGGAGGGCTTGATAATGTCGCAGGGAAGAGCAGGGCTGTTGAATTGAATATGATTTTAAATGAGGGATTTATCTGTGTAAATCCCTTGTTTCAGGAATTTATCTGTATAAATCCCTGCTTTGGTTGCAATCATTCCATTTCACTCTTCTGCTTATTTAGACAAAGTATGAACTGCCCACAGTGTATTTATTCTTGTATTTGGCAGTATTTGAGACAGGAATTTATCTGTATAAATCCCTCCTTTGGTTGCGATCATTCTGTTTCACTCCACTGCTTATTCAGACCAAGTATGAACTGCCCACTGCCCACAATGTATTTATTCTTGTATTTGGTGGTATGCGAGATTCCTTCCTCTTCTCAAGTTCTTCATCGTCATCGATCAAAATCTTCCTTACTACTTCTGGGCAATTCGATGGGTCAGTCTGTCCATCCTTGATTCATTCCACAGTCACTACTTGTTTTAATTCTTTTGCACATGAATTTCGTGGAGCAGGCTCATCACTATCTACTAGGCCGTCTAAAATAGAATCAATACTAAAATCTTGTTGTAATATTTCTTCTGAAAAACTATTTTGAGTAAGAAAAAGCTCCTTGTTGTTATACATGCTGTCCATAATGACAGCACAAAAACAGAGAAATGAGTTGTTGGAAAACATTTGTACACGTTTATTGAAAAACTAGTAAACAAGAACAAAAACAAAATATGAAACATAGCAAAAAACAAAGAAAATGCAATGCTAAGTCCCTTGTGGACTCGCTAAAATATCAAAGTACAAAAAAGTTTAGCACTTGTCACAGAGGAATTCGCAACAACTTTTCACAGCTGTGTGAGAAACGCACACATCAGGTTGCTTTCATGGTATCTGCTTTGATCCAATGAAAGTGTGACTGTACTAATTAGCCTGTGTTTGGCCCCTTAAAGAAAGGATCATTATTTAAAGATCCCTCAGTCAGATAAATACCTTGAACAGAGGTATTAATCCATATACATCCCTCAGCCCTACAGCCCTCGGGATGTATATGGATTAATACCTCCATTTTTGGTATTTGTCTCTTACAGATTCATATTTTCCATACTGCCCTGTCTAATTTTCCTATGGTACTGACAAGGAGAACTTTTTTCACAATTAAGATCTTCATAAATTGGTTATCATTTCCTTTATTCTTATATAACCTTTGTATTTGATTTAATGGTGATACTGTAAGAAAAAATTGGAGGCCAGTCACTAAGGGTTTGAAAGATTAACAATTATTAAAATGAGAATGTATCTTGAGTTTTCATAACTTTGGAGATTTCCTATCCACCCTACATTTGTGAGCTGAGGCTATGCAAGCATGTAAACATGCCTCTAATGCTTTTATAACATATTTCTGATGCACATGTACAAATTGTAAACATTGCCTGTGTTTACAGTTACATGCTCTCATTTAACCCTTAAACTCCCAAAAAATGATTGTTAATTCTCTCCTCTAGCTGCTACACATTTCCTTGGTTTCTCTTGGAAAATATTCCAACTGAATTTCTCAGCTTTCATCAGTCGGAATGAGGGATTACACAGCATAAAACTATGTGCATGTAATCAATTGCTCAGAGTGACCCTTCAATGAGAATATGGATTCATATCTCTGGAAGCTCAAGCCCCTTGTTCCTGTTAGTGATGGATGTCTCATCTTTACCTCTAGATATCATCACAGTGTGCACTGTACCTGAGTCATGTTACAAATCATATTCCAACAAAATTGATTATTTCAGGTATCCATGGTGTGCTGGTTCCCATCAGAGACAAGAACCTTAATGTGATGCCTGGAGTTCAGATTCATGACATGGGACATAAAATGGGTCTGAATGGAGTGGACAATGCTAAGTTCTTCTTTAGCAATGTCCGTGTACCCAGAGAAAACCTGCTCAACTTGTATTCTGATGTTGAAGAGGATGGAACATACAAGACAAACATAGAAGGAAGTATTCGGAAACGTTTCTTGACTGTAGCAGACATGCTTCTCTCAGGCCGTCTGTGTATAGCCAGCATGTCACAAGGTACTGTTTATTGGGTGGCTTACTATATCCCAAGTACTAAAGCTCTGGGCCCAGTTGTATAATGGATGGATAATGCTATCCAAGAGATAAATTGCAATGTGGTGGATAAGCAATTGCAAAATCTTTAGCATTGTCTGCTGTACAGCAATTTATCTGGTGGATAGTGTTATCTAACCTTCGAACTTTTTGGGCCTGGTGCACTAATCAGCCTTACCCCCCCCCTCCCCCCCTCCTTTCACTGATCTCTATAACTGCTTTTGTGTTTTTTCTTAAGATGTGACATTTGCAAACATCCAATTTGAACCAAATCTGATAAACACTACAGAACCACTTGTGGGAGATATGGTGTTCTAATGGTTAGTGCACTGGATTCCAGGTCGAAAAAATCCAGTTTCAAGACCTTGCAGAGCCATCGTGTTGTGTTCTTTTGCAAAGCACTCTCCTTCGGAGTGCCTTTCTTCACCCAGGAGTATAAATGAGTAGTGAATTGTCAGGGAAGCCTGATGAAATTTTGGGGAGGTAACCTTGCAAAGAATCGGCATCCTCTCCAGAGGGGAAGGTTTATCTGTAACATCTGGAATTTAGTGTTGCCTTGACTTGAATGGGCTTTGTAGGCTCAGAGTTTAGTTGTCTACACCCATACACTCTGTTCTGGACTTTTGCACAACACACATCCAAGCTAAAGAATTGTATGCTAGTTGCAGCCTTCATAGATGCGCACTTCTTTATTTTATATGATGTTCTTCTACCCACTGTAAAGAACAAGCACAGGAAATAGCGGTATGTCTTATTATGTTTTAAGGAGCAGCCAAAGCTTGTCTTGCCATTGCCATCCGCTACTCAGCAACTCGCCTTACAGTGGGTCCTGATGGCAAATCTGACACACCCATTCTCAAGTATCAGCTCCAACAAAACGCTCTGGTGCCACTTCTGGCTGCTACTTACGCCATGGATTTTGCACTGCAATATATAAAAGATCGCTGGGCTTTTCAGGTACTGTGGCCTTGCAAAACGCCTTGTGTCTAGCAAAGAATGATTGGAACATTACGTGTATTTTTGTCCTTGTTTTTTAGTGAACAATGTTATTATTCCACTCTCGGAAGTTGCATATGGGATATCCGAACTATAGCCTCCGTTTGGTATCTTGAAAATACGCTTATCTGTTCCAACGAGTGAACAGTTTTGCGAGAGTAAAGCTCGAGGAAAACTGTGAGCAGCAGAGGCTCAGCGAGGTCCTGATACAGCTTTGTTTAAGATCTTATCATTCCATTTCCTTCATAGGCAGCTGATGGATCTGAGCATACGGATGTGGTGATTATGTGTTGTGTTATAAAGGCTATAACTGGCTGGCATGTTGCTGAAACAGCTGCCATTTCCCGCGAGAGGTGTGGGGGCCAAGGGTATCTGTCCTGTAACAAGTTTGGCAGTGGTATCGCTGGTTCGCATTCCTCCATGACAGCCGAAGGGGACAACTCAGTCCTGATGCAGAAGGTGGCTTCAGAAAGGCTGATGAGTCTCAAGCCATCCATGTTGGAGGTAGCGGCCAGCTATGTGCCGAAGGCTGTGACCCGGATCTTCGGTTGGGCCAATCTCAACAACCCGAAATACTTGCAGGAGCTTTTAGGGTCACGAGAGAAAGATCTATTTTTGAGCCTTGGAATGAAGATGATGAAGGCTGGGAAGGAGGGAAGATTTGACACCTGGATGTACATGGAACAGGATCTTGTCCAAGCTGCTGCTCGTGCGTATGGTGAACGACTCATCAGTGAATGTTTTGGCAAAGCTCTTGACAAAGCTGACCCTGGTCTGCAACCAGTTCTCCAGAAACTTCATCATCTCTATCAGATGTCAGTCATCAAGAAGGATCTCGGCTACTTCACCACCTCGGGGCTGATGTCTACGTGGACTGGGGCTAAAGTTGGGAAGGCAGCTGCTGACCTGTGTCGAGAAGTGGCACCGCAGGCCACTGCACTGTGTGATGCATTTGGATTCACCGACGAAATGCTTAATGCCCCAATTGCCAGAGACTGGGTCAAATATAATGCAGTTGATAACAAAGGGGAAGTCGAAGGTGTGCAGTATTGATGCTGCCACCCGAAATTCGCTCAACCTTGTGAACGAACCCTTTTTTTTCTGAAAGCTCCTGAAACAAAATTTGTCGTAAATTAGAATCACAGTGAACCATGTTCCTCAGGTGTATGCGCTAATAGAATAATTCCTCCATAGTTATTTAAGTGTTGGCTTTCTCTACTAGCAAGAAGTCATGTTTCGTCGTTGGGGATTTGGTTTGTTTCACTTATTTAGGGTTAGAAAGAAGAGGAACTGAGCTGAGCTATTTAATAAGCCATCGTGCGTTCAAATAGGGGATGGGGGGGGGGGGGGTAAGTTTCTGAAGAAACTGCCATGCTGCGTCGGTGGGGTGGGTTCGGTGGACGTTTCGAGCGTTAGCCCTTCACTCTGGGAGGATGGTAGCGGTCAAGTTTGGCAAGTTTTCATCTCCAACATGCGTGAATATTTCTTTTCATCACATCTCCCTTTACTGCAAACGAAGATTTAGAAGGGAGCCAACATTTATGCCAAAGTTTAATTCGAATCTACGACGTAATAATACATATCGATTCAAAGAACGATCAAGAATTCTAATGTCAGAGGAAGGAAAGTGACGGAATATTTTGATTTTCAGAATTTATTTTCTCTCTCTGTTATAGGGGGTGGGGTGAGGGCGGGGGGGGGGAGGAGGTTGAATCAAATCCACCGAGAGATGGGGATGTGAGTCCATTAATGGACGTGCCCATTTTTCGGCTACGTAGGTGCACTAATTTTTATTAGATCCTGGTTTAAATTTTTGTCAGGGTAATTTTTTTATTTGAGGTTAAAGAAAAAGGCTTAAACCCCTTCAGCTGTGACACCTAGAACCGGAAACTTTTTGTGATACTTTTTCATCATAATGGCCTAGGGGTCTACATATTTAATCTTTGTTGTATTATGATCTAAAGTGCAGGAACAGAATTGAGGACTAAGATAAAGTATTCTCTTCCTGAGTTAGGCGGTCATATAATAGTGGTTGACTTAAACATGTCTTCACTATACACGTGATTATTTAATGATTCATTTTGAAATAAAGTCTTGAGATAAATTTGTCGCACGAAAGAAGCGTTTTTGTCATTAGTAGGTTGTGGTTGTGAGTCATTTTCAGCCGTGTTGAGATATCACATAACTTCACTCTCCTTACTCTACACTCTCTTTCCTTTGTCAACCAAAAAAAGGGGTAATAATGATTTACAAAGGAACGAGGATTGCAAACAGTAAACTTGGAGAGTCTTAAACTTTGGAAGACATCTGACGTGTAATTTTTCATCCGTGGCTAAGTAATTTTTCAAAGGATTAAAGGGAGTAAGATTCTGAAGAAACTGTGATGCTCCGTCGGTGGGAGAGTAAAACAGGGTAATTTAGTATTATCAACTGGGTTGATAACGTAAATTGGCCATCGTAAAGAGTTTAAAAGCTGACGTTTCGAGCGTTAGCCCTTCGTCTACTGCTCCGACGAAGGGCTGTTATTTAAAAAAAAAATAACTCAAAAACAAGCCGTGCATTCTTATCAGTAATTGCCATAGCAACAATATTTAGGTTTTGAAAGAGTCGTCCTTAGTAGTCCAAGGCTGTTGGTTTTTTACCTTCTACCGAGTGCTCTGTGATAAAAATTTGCCAAGGGAGAAATTATTTATGCATATGTAATATCCAAAGCCTTGTAAAGTACTCTGTAGAGCCACCTTAAATATATTTCTTGAAATGAACGACACTTTTAAAATAAAAAAAACATGTTTCGACGGTTCTTCTGTCATCGTCAGTTCTATGCGCTCATATTTCTTTGCTATGTCGTGGATGATATGAGTACATAGAACTGAAGATGGCAGAAGAACTGTGGAATCATGTTTTTTGATTTTAAAAGTGTCGTTCATTTTCTTTAATTCGTTACATATCTGCTTCTATCCAGATCTTTTGGTAATATCATCCACGACATAGCAGAGAAATATGAGCACATAGAACTGAAGATGACAGAAAATCTGTGGAAACATGTATTTTTAATTTTAAAAGTGTCGTTCATTTTCTTAAATTCGTTACATATCTGCCTCTATAAGCACAGGTATCACTTCTGATAGGTTGATAAATATTGCAGTTTAATATGAGACCAGATAAGGCATAAGTATAGAATCACTTCTGAGAGGGAGGTTTCGAAAATAATCAGTATGGTAATTAAATATGTTAAATATTCCATCATGATATTGGCAATATCATTCACAATATAGCAGAGAAATATGAGCACATAGAACTGAAGATGGCAGAAAAACTGTGGAAACATGTATTTTTAATTTTATAAGTGTCGTTTATTTTCTTAATTAATTCATTACATATTTGCTTCTATAAGCACAGGTGTTACCTCTGATAGGTTGATAAATATTGCAATTTAATATGAGACCAGACAAAGCGTAGGTGTAGTATCATTTCTGAGTGGGAGATTTCGAAAATAATCAATACAGTAATTAAATACAATAAATATTCCAGATAATAAACGTTGATATAACTTTTCAGTATTACTACACTTGTTCGGTAACGCTAAGTAAATCAATTATCACACTGTTTGGAAAAAAATTACCCATGCTTCATAGATATCTGAGTTGTATTTTTTCTTCGAACTATTCCTATATGGCTCTAATCAATTTCCGTCTTCGATAGTCTTGTGGTTTTTTTTTTAAAAAACGTCTTGTTTTGTTTTTTTTTTTTATGTCGATCTGATAACTTCTTTTACAGAACCCCTTGGGATTATATTTGAGTGACAGTTTGTTCTGGTTTTGGTTTGTATAAAAACTCAAGAGCAAAACGACAATCGTTTATAAGAAGTGTCCTTCCCGGAGAATTGAGACAGAACACACCTAAGGTAGGTTATGGTTCGTCTTAGAATGCTAAGCTGATTCAAGTTTATAAAAACAGAGACCACATAAAATCCAAAAATCCTGACCTTCACCCTGTTTCGTATGTAAAACCTTTACCACATGATCCTCGAAGAAACCGCGAGGGAAACTCTTAGAACAAAATCTGCTGTAAGAAAAAAGCAGTTATTACCTTACTTGAGAATTTCAAGATTATCTGAATTTGATGAATTCACTTCTTCTGCCATTCACGCCCGTTACTGCTTTAATAAGTCGTTCATTTCGTTTATCACTCCCATGATTACAGACTTAGTTGGGCTTCCACTCAAATATGTCATTCTTCACTACTTTTTGTGTGCTTTTTCAGTTTCGTACTTTTTTATATTCAATCACTATTATTTATGGTTGATTTAACCAAATCCTGATCCACGGATGTAACGTAATGTTTGAATGGGGTGAAATTATAAATTCTATCTTATTTCTGTCTCTCTGTAGATATTTGCTAAACATGAGAAGCTTGGTCATTTTGTTGATTTTTGTGAGCTGCGCATTGTCTGTGGCAATGGCTGCTAAGTGCAGAACGAAGCTTAAAATTCTTTCAAGGGACTCTGAATGCGAAGGAGGAGAGTTTGTGAGCTAGAGTTGGTTGGTTACAGCTCCCTACCCCATGAAACTTTCAACATTGGAGAATGGTGGGGCGTGATCTAGGAAACTTTCGTCAGCTCGGTGACCAAGGCTAGGGCTCGCCACGTTATGCTCGATATGCTCTTTACACCTTAGTTTACTGATAGCAACCTTACAAGTATATATCTCTTTGATACTTTATCCACGAGTTGGCCACAGGCGCCCTTTAATTGTTTGCTTTTTCAGTTTTGTACATTTTTGTACCATTTTTGTAAGCATAATGCTTGATTCTTTTTCCTCGCTGTTAAGCTCAAAATCATGCCGGCATTAGGTGAGATACTCGAACCAAGGCCCAGACTGATAGCAAGTGATTTTAATCTCTTGCTGATAGTAAGTGAAGGGAGTGGTAAACGAGCAACGAAGAGTGTCCGGTAAAATCGTAGTTTTTTCTAAAAAAAGCAAGGAAATATTATTCAAGGAGAAATGCAAAAGAAGTCTGACTCACATTATTCTATAGCAGTGAGTTTATGTTTCCATTGCTCTAACTTTTTTCCGTCAGGTTGTAAGGATACCGACGACCTTTGTAAATCCTGGGCATCGAGCGGTGAATGCAAAAATAATCCACAGTCCATGCTGTTCAAATGCCCCAGAAGTTGCGGAGTCTGTCCAGGTATACATGATGCTCAAGAAGTGAAATAGATTATCCATAACGTTTTAAAATTTTGTGATAATAGATTCATGTAATACTTTTTTTCCTGCTTATGCTTATATTTTGATTCTGCTGCCAATTTGGGGAGGCGAAATTAAAAAAAAAAAAATGTCCGGCAGCACGTGAGACCAGGCATGAAGAGATCCTGATTCAGAGAAATGTGACTCGAACAGAAATGTTGATGAAATCTGATAACATTAAGCGATGCACTTACATGTATATTGCTTTACTTTTCCGTCAGCTTGCGAGGATAAGGACGAAAATTGTAAACTCCAGGCATTGCACGGTGAATGCAAAAAAAAAACCAGTTTACATGGCGATCAATTGCCCCAAAAGTTGCAGAATCTGTCCAGGTATGCATAATGCTCAAGAAGTGAAATAATAATAGTAATAATTGTAATAATAGATCCATGTAATGCTTTTTTCTCTCTTTCTTGTACTTACATTTTGATTCTGCTGACAATTCATATATACCAATAGGCATTCCCTGACTTTTCAATCATAGTGTTATTCTTCAATAAACGTTCAAGCTCTTTCCCCTCCACCCCCCTTTCTTCTCCTTCCCCGACGGCCACCTCTACATAACTGTTAGCTTTCTTTGTAGTCAATATGCCGGTTCAGCATTAAATTTGGGTGATTTGTGTAAAGACATCAAACAAAAAGACCTTTTGTGTTTATTAGCGCATGCCATATACCACAATGGGTGGGTTCTCGTTGAATTTAATTGCAACCCTCTGTACAGCCCCTAGTAATAACAGCTCTTCTCCTCACTGAAATGACTTACATGGGAATTAATTCCCAAGGAACGAGTGGAGGGGCGAAATTAGGAAAAAAGAAAAGGTCCGGCTGCACGGGTGACCAGGCATGAAGAGATCCTGATTCAGGGGAATGTCATTCAAACAGAAATGTTGATGAAATCTGATAACATTAAGCGATGCACTTACATGTATATTGCATTATTTTTTACCGTCAGCTTGCAGGGATAAGAACAAACATTGTAAATCCTGGGCATCGACCGGTGAATGCGGAAAAAATCCAAATTACATGCAGTTCAATTGCTCCGAAAGTTGCAAAGTCTGTCCAGGTATGCATGATGCTTAAGAAGTGAAATAGATTACCCATAACGTTTAAAAATTTCGTAATAATAGATCCATGTAATGCTTTTTTCTCTCTTTCTTGTGCTTACATTTTGATTCTGCTGCCAATTCATCTACACCAATAGACATTCCCTCACTTTTCAATCATAGTGTTATTCTTCAAAAAAACGTTCAAACTCTTTCCCCTCCACCCCTCCCCCCCCCTTCTCCTTCCCCGACGGCCTCCTCTACATTACTGTTAGCTTTCTTTGTAGTCAATAGGCCGGTTCAGCATTAAATTTGGGTGATTTGTGTAAAGACATCAAAGCAAAAAGACCTTTTGTGTTTATTAGCACATGCCATGTACCACAATGGGTGGGTTCTCGTTGAATTTAATTGCTATCCTCTGTGTAGGCCCTCGTATAATTAAAGCTCGTTCTCTTACTGAAACGACTAACATGGGAATAAATTCACAAGGAACGAATGGGGAGGTGAAATTAGGACAAAAACGGTCCGGCAGCACAGGTGACCAAGCATGAAGAGATCCTGATTCAGAGAAATGTGACTCAAACAGAAATGTTGATGAAATCTGATAAGATTAAGCGATGCACTTACATTTATATTACTTTACTTTTTTTCCGTCAGCTTGCGTGAACAAGAACAAACGCTGTAAATTCTGGGCATTTGTCGGTAATTGCAAAAAAAATCCAAACTTCATCCTGTTCAATTGCCTCAAAAGTTGCGGAGTCTGTTAGGTATGCATGCGCACAAGTAATCGTTAAAAAAATCAAATAGAATAGCGGAAACCTTAAAAGGTTTTGAAATTTTGTGTTTCTTTTAATGGTATGTTAAATTCTCTTACTAATTTACGTGTAGTGATGAGCATTCTTTTCTTTTAAAAAAGTCACAGAGGTTTACTCTCTCTCGAAAAAAGTGTGATTTGTCACCCTGTCCGTCTCACCAGCTGTCCTTTTAAATTCATCAATGTGGCTTAAATGGTTTTTAAATGGCTTTTATAAAAGGGAAAAAGACCAATGTGAGTAAATTAGAGGAAAATGCACAATCACGCTCGCTGCAGAACGAACGAGAACCTCCCCCCTTTCGGTATTTAAATTGAGAGGTCTCTAATGAGATACGAAGGAGTTCAAAAGGAAAACGAGGACAGTGGTAGGAGAAATTTCCAATTTCAAGAAAAATTTACTTAAATGGGTGGAACTTTGAAAATGCAATTCAGCTATAGAACAAATCTTAGCCTTTGGTGAATCACGGTGGTGTTTTGGTTTGTTTTGTTTTTTCTTATTGCGGAATCGAAGTGAAACACATCTGACCTGTCTTCTGCCGGATCAGATGGAAAAGATTTGAGGCAGTAGTCTTATTTTGCCAGCATAATTTGGATTGGGTGAAGGAAAATGCTGGGTTCCCAATGTAAGGGTTTTTTTTCGCTGTGCTTATTGTAGAATTTCATGCCTCGTTATCTGGAAAATAAAACAAATGATTAACTCAAAGGTTATGGTTGATTCTCTTTGTTATTAGCAACTATTTCTTAATTAACCCAAGAGGTTCTAAACAAGGAAAGACGAAGGGGAAGGGATAAATTGATTGAAATTGAAAAATAATTCGCGTTGATATGGCAGTTTAACTTAAACCGACCATTTTTTTTTGATCTACCTACAGACGGGATGGCCCAATAGTCAATGCGCTGGATTTCGTTTCGAGAGGTCTGGGTTCGAGACCTGACCGGGTATTGTGTTGTGTTCCTAGGCAAAACACTTTATTCTCACAGTACCTCTCTCTACCCAGGAGTATAAAAGGGTACCGAGGAATTATTAGGGAAGATGAAATGTAAAAGGGTAGCCTCACGGTATACTGGCATCCCATCATGCCAAGGGAACCGAGTTAAACTATAGCTGGGTGGGCCACGTGACTCGAATACAGACATTTACATTTTTTACCCACCTGCATCTACAAAATACATACTTGATTTAAATTTGACGCTGTTTCACAATTCTATTTCCATATTTTCTTTGTGAATCTACCAAACTAGTGATATCATATCAAGAAATTGAAGACCGGCAAACTGTGCAAATAAAATAAACATTCCGAAAATCAATGTTTTTTTTGTCAATACAAAGCAAACATGAGACTGAGCCAGTGTTATTAATTGAGCTAAATGAAAAAAAATTATCACAGTAATAGATTAACTGCCTCTTAGTTTTCTGGATAAAGTGATAATGAAATGGCTTAATACGCGCAACAGATTGAAGGTCAGTGTATAATGATTGTTCGAAAACTAAACTCTTCTCCAGCAATAGTTTACGCAACACCAAGAAAAACCATAAATCGAACTCGTAGATTGAACCAGTTAACAAGACAGTGTTTTTCTCATTTTCATGGGCCGTTAAGCCTAACGAAAAGTAGGAGAGTGAAAGCAGGCTCAGATCAAATGATGAAAATAACTGAAATTAAAGTGGCACCAAATAACTGATCGAAAACTGAGGGTTGCAGGAGATTCTGCGTTCGCACAAAAATATTCATACATTTATTGATGCTGCCACCCGGAATTTGCTCAACCTTGTAAACGAACCTTTTTTTTGAAAGCTCCTGGAACAAAATTTGTCGTAAATCAGAATCGCAGGAAATCAGACTCCTTACGTTTATGCGCTAATACAATAGGTCCTCCATACCAATTTAAGTGTTGGCTTTCTCTACTAGCAAGAAGTCGTGTTTCGTCGTTGGGGATTTGGTTTGTTTGACTTATTCAGTATGAGAAGGAAGAGGAACTGAGCTGAGCTATTAAATAAGCTATCGTGCATTTGACTAGGGGGTGGGTAGGTAGGGGGGGTAAGTTTCTGAAGAAACTGCAGCGCTGCGTCCGTGGGGTTGGTTCGGTGGACGTTTCGAGCGTTAGTCTTTCACTCTGGGGGGATGGTAGCAGTCAAGTTTGGCAAGTTTTCATTTCCAACATACGTGAATGTTTGATTTTATCGCATCTTCCTTCACTAGATTTAGAAGGAAGCCAACATTTATGCCAAAGTTTAATTCGAATCTATGACGTAATAACACGTATCGATTCAAAGAACGATCAAGAATTCTAATGTCAGAGGAAGGAAAGGAACGAAATATTGTGATTTCCTCTCTCTTTTATAGGGGGGTGGGGTGAGGAGGTTGAATCAAATCCACCGAGAGATGGGGATGTCAGTCCATTAGTGGACGTGCACATTCTTCGATTCTGTCCCTTCCCTTCATACTGTCTGGTCCATACTCGGCTAAAACAGCATTGCAATTTTTAAGGTTCCCACACTCATACGCAAACATTCCCAGTGAACATAGCAACTGCTCTGTATTCCGCAGCTCGCAATGAAGAGTGCATAGGTTTACATCACACAACTCTTCTTCAAGGAGAAACAGCAAGTCATCCCTAACACCCTTCCATCTAAAATATTAGCAAAGGAGGAGTAATATCAAAAATTACTGAAAGTTGACCTTTTATTTTATACCTAAACATTATCAAGCTTAGGTATTTATCAGTTTCTCCTGTGCATACAATGTAATTACAATTATGCCAGATTGTAATTATGCACAATTACAATCAAGCCAATTCCTGGGAAGTTGTCTGCAGTTTCTCTAAGGACAATAACGCTTATATCTACAACCATAGAAAATTAATGTAAGGTATAATGGAGAAGGCTAAACAGGGATTAATAAAATACTTGTTTACTGAAAATAGTTTTGTAATCAAAATTTAATACATAGATGCATGTCTAAAGTCTGAGGTGTGTACAAAAAAATTAATCACATAACCAAAAACACATAAATAACATACAGCTGCCCTTGTAAAATGATTGCATTAAAAAATTAAATGGGCTTACTGACCCTCCAACATTTGCCTTGCTCTTGATAAAGCATTCTGCACAGGATTCACCACGTTCAACCCCTGGACATGCACATCCCTGCAATAAAATAGAGAATGATATTTTATTGTTTACCAGATAGTGACAGCTTGCAACAAGACAAGACAAAAATTCAAGGGGTATCGCTAAGGTGTGTTTGCTAAGTAACAGGACTATTTTACAGGTTGTCATCAAGGAACCACAAAACAAGGAAACCAAGGATTACAGTTAACAACGATTTATAAACGATCATAAAATATCGGTCCCACTCGTGCCAAAGATTATGAATCAAGACAACAAACAAGGCAAACAATGGACAATAAGTCAAAATCTTATGGAAAATGTGAGGTGACACTAAAGGATCTGATTACAAACCAATATGAAAACAGAAAAAAAATTGTAACTATGTCCATAAATAGGCACACAATCAAAGTAATTGATAATTGATCGGATTGAAATTGAATCCTTTGTCTATAATAGTATCCTTAACAAGCTTGATACAATTAAAAACTGTGAAGAAGAAGTTGAAGTTGAGTATGAATTTTAATTACCCATATACCAAAACTTACAGTGAAAACACTATTATAAAATGACTTGTGCACATCCAGTGACATAGGAACTACATTTCATGGCTACTTCTGTGATAACTTACCCGTATAACTTTACAGAACACACAGCACTCTGTGTCCAACCCTCTCTGACATAGACCTTCCATTTCTTCATCTGACTCATTATCTTCACTCTTTCGTTTGATAAGCTTTATCAATGCCTTATAATCAAGCGTAACTGTCATAAAAAAACAAGATGAATAATTAAATTTTCTTGAATGTCACATCCCGACATTAACAAATATGATTTTAATGTCCATTAACAGGCTTCTTCTGGGATCACATCCCAAAATGCCTTTTATTTTAATTAATCAGTCTGCATTTACTGTCATCAGCATTTCTACAGCCTGACTTAGAAATGCAGATGGTTACAATCTTTAGGAACACATCCAAGAAGAGAATGAGGAAATTGATTCTTAAGTCCTGTTTTTTTTAAGGTGATGGAGTCGGTAATTTAGCAGTAGGTAAAGGGCCATTCAAGCCTATAGTGGCCCATCAGGCTTTGTAGCCTTACCTTGGATTCAGGAGCATAAAGTGACAAGAGTATTTCTATGCGCACCCGGATGGGGCGTTAGCCCATCAAAGGGTTATACATGCCAGGATTAAGTTCACTGGTACTTTTTCAATCCCCTGAGCTCAGACACTGTGAGTATTCCCTATGAATACAACACAATTACTCTGGCCAGGACTTGAAACCCAGATCACTAGATCTCAAGTTCAGCACACTCACCACTGATAATTACAATGCAGATCACCATGTCTCCCTTATTAAGTAAGGTAAGGTCTGGGTTTGGGCCCCGAAGTCACCCACCAGCATCGAAGCTTATCCAGATTACAGTAGCACTCAGGGACTAGGAGTATTTCTACTTCACCCTGGATGGGATGCTAGTCAATAAAAGGGTTATCCCTGCCCAGCATTAAATTTGCCAATTGATACACATTCATATACATTTATATTATTTGTGGGTGGAGAGAAGCATTGTGAAAGTTGAATGTCTTGCCCAGGAACACAACACAATGGCCTCGGCTAGGGTTTCAACCCGGACTGCTTGATCTGGAGTCCAGTGCTCACGTGAAACATTAGGCACTTACAAATTCAGCAGATGGAGGTATTCTACAATATTATTATTATACTATATGTTTTAATAGCAAACAGAAGAAAGAAATACATGTAATTCTGAAAATAAATATAACTTCAATATATAAAGGAACTCCAGCAATAAGCTGGATATTTTTCCTTGGCCCTACAGTGGCCTAGGAAAGTATATTTAATCACCTGTAAATTTGACTTTAAAGTGTCTTCCATCAATAGTTATTCCATTTTTCTTGATAGCATTTTTTTGGGCATTGATTTCCTTTATTAGGGCTTCAACATTGATCCTACAGAAAAAAAAACAGTTTAAACTCATTTAATTGAACTCCTAACTTAATGATGGGCATTGAATTATGAAATCATAATAGTGCATTTAGCAGTCTGCTAAATGCATTTCTTAAAGTGATATTTTAGCCATTGAAGACCTAAATATTATTATTATCACCTGTTTTCCTCACAATTTGCAATTGCTATGGGGTAGACACTTTTACAAAGGTTAAAGGGGGGTGGGGGGTCAGGGGCACCTCAGGAACCCCTCTAGCCATGCCCTTGACAAAGTTTAGCAATAAAAAAAGAAAGAGGAAAAACAATATTTCTGTTTGTTATTTTTCTATTTATCTTTGTACTTTGCATCGGTATATTGTTTTATTATATCATAATTAAATAAATTTTGACCTCCAAAAGAAACGGATAAAGTTGACCAGAATTTAAATACAGGGGTGGCAGATTTTCCCCACTCACCAATTTAATCAAACACACTACCTGGCAATACAAAATGATTTAAAAAGATAAAATGATTTACCTTAGTTCGCCCTAACTTTGTAAAGTTCAACAAGGTTTGCCATCCTTGGTCTGGGATCCGGGACTGCAGCTTGAAGTAAAGCAACGTCCAATCGGGCACACGAAGGGATTTAAAGAATTTTGGGGCACTGTCCCCCAGTATTGCTTCCAGGGCTTGCTTCGGGTCTTTTTTTCTCAGCAGCTGTTCTGCGATATCGCTCATCACTTTAGCCACTTCAACATTCTGGTCCACCTGATCGGCGAATAAAGATGCAAGAGGCACCTGGAACTTATCGCAAACATCGCCGATCAAGGTCCACATATCGCTTGTACTGTACTGTCCGGGTTGTCCTTTGCCGGGTCCTGTGTGCCTGAGCTCAGCGTCGATTGACCGCCGTTTTTCACCTTATCTCGAAGGGCCTCTAACTGGGAAAGCACAACTTCAAGTTCAGCCTTAAGCTTAAGATTTTCATCTTGACTCTTCTCGATATCCTCTATGGATATGGCTGACCTTGAATCGACTCCAAATACTGTTTGTACAGGGTCATGAATTTTGTCCTTGTTGTTGTCACGTGTGTCAGTCGCTGTTTGGCAATCTTCATTATCTTGGCCAATATTTAGGCTGTTGATGCCATCAACCAACCAACTGTACTTTTCTTCTTCGCCCGCTTTTAGTTTTTGCCGAAGCATCGCGGAAACAACGCCGAAAGAAGAGGCTATGAATACCTCTTCTTTATGAACTAGTCGTCGATCCAAGTGCCCGCCATTTTTAAGATTCGAGAGTTGCACTGTGTTAAATTCTTTTGGAAAGCTTGACACCAAAGGGCTACTCGACATGAATTTTCCTACAGGAATGTCGCATATTTTGGAATTCAGGAGATACCAGTCCCTCGAATCGCTCGTGGAGTGCAGCAATTCAGCTCTTCGAATATCGAAGGCATCCATGCCGCACAGCACCTGATCGAAATGAGAACAAATTTCCCGCTCTTGTGAGTAATGTCTGAAATTCAACCTCAAGAAATGTCAAAAGAAAAATCCAGCCCCTCAAAATAAACAGGATTGACGCCATTGGAGGTTGTACACAACGGTGTTAATGTAATCACCGAACGCTCCCCTGTTGAAACCACAAATCGAGAGCGTTGATAGCTACTGAGCCGGATCATGACGTCACACCATAGCAACCAAACCCCACGAATTTTTGAACATGCTCTGGCTCGTCATGTATCTGCTTCTATCCAGACCTCATGTCGTATATCACTTGAGAGGTTCCGGAAACAAGCTAAATACTAATTGAATAACAAATTGGCGCACATGACTTTTATCCAAAGCACAATATTGTTAAAAGTAGTTTTTAAAGGAGCTGGGTGCTATTCGTATAAGTTACCTGATCATAAATTCGGTGCGGAGGATGAAAAGGACTACTTGTTTACACCTTAAGTCACCTCTGAGAAAAAGAGGTTTCGAACATACTAAATTTAAGAATTTGTTCATGCTTAGCGTCGAGTTATGGATGCACGCGGGAAGTTTAGAAAGCACGAAAAATGCGTAAGAGTAGCTCGAGGCGCAGCCGAGAGCAACTCTAGCTTTTTGAGTGTATAGCGGCTCAATAGAACTTATATAGGGCAAGCACGTACTGAGGACCTCTTGACTCGCATGCAAATTTGGTTAGTAAGTCGTGCATCAGTCCCCACCTTGTCAAGATTTAAGAGGTCATAATTTACCATCATCCATGCAACATCAGTCATAGCTTGACCACAAGAGACAGGGCTAGGGATATCAGCTAAGGTATCCAACTAACCAGTCTTCGCTTCAATTATTACGGTTCGTCCCTCTTTGTGAAAGATCATACAAAATTGAACACGCATTTACTCCTACATTAGCGTTCTTTATTAAGCTTAATTTAACCCTTGACAAACATTTCAAAATCTACAACACAAAAATTGAAAAACCTAGTTATGTTCTCTCCTTAAATGCGCACTTTAAATATGTCTGCGTGCTAAATGTCAAAGGCATGGTGCTCCACCAGAAAGTGCTAGAGTCTAGTTGAACTTCAGGTTCTGTAACCGATGATGTACACATCACTCCATTCCTGGGGTTCCAGCTCGCCTGCAATGTGCTTTTTCTTACTTTTCAGACTCGTAGGGTGATACAACTTCACTTTCAACTCCCTCTTATCCTTGACAGGAAACCACGCGTTGATGGAGTTGACAATGTTGATGCCATCGCCAGTGGCTACGTTCATGTACTGCTTGAAATCCTTGCCACCGCCACTCGTGAAAATCTCGTAGAAGCCTCGCTGAAAGGAACCATTTCCGATCGTAGTCATGAATGTATAAACGAGGACCTCTTTTGCTTGGGCTGGAATTTCAGGGAGATCGAACGAGTAGGTAATCTCAGATTCATGGTATCCTGGAAGTTTGCCTAGGCTATCAGTTTGTATGGGCACCCAGTCACACTGCATATTTTCGTTGGTCTGAGGCTTGCACAGAGCTTTCTTAGACAAGGAATAGTATCGATGTGCAAAATTAAACTAGGGAGAGGCTGTTTTATATGAAAAGAAACCTCCCATACAATCATAATGACAGCCAATGAGGTTTTATCCACGTGGTTTACGGTTTTCAATAAAAAGGGAAATGTGGGTCTTTGGTGACGTTGAATTAACCCATTGGGCCGTTTTGTTTGACAAGACAACTGCCAAACTGTCATGACGACAAGAATGAGGTTTCATGCTCGTGGTTTGCGGTATTTGATCAAAGATACATCAAATCAACTAATTGCTCAGATAACCACGATATTATAAGAGTTTGTCTGGGAATATTTACGACCGCTCCTAGGAACGAAAAAAATATGGTCAAATTATCCAAAAAAATACCTCACCTTACTTCCACAGTGCATCGCTTGTTATCTGACCGCTTAGTATGTCAAAAAGAACCCATTATAGCGAGTTATCCATTTCTAGGTTTACTACCTACATAAGAGGGCATCTCTTACTGCACGAGTTACTAACCAAATTTGCATGCGAGTCAAGAGGTCCTCTGAGGTAAATTTGCATCAAAACGATCGAAGAAGCATTCGGTCTCGAAATGAACAACTAAATAAAAAACAGCGTCGATGTGAACAGTGAAAAAAACCAGAGAAAAGTTAGTATTCTTATCAGGTAAAGCCTAGAAAGAGATTTAAGGTGGCTTTATAACCTAGTTGAAGTAGTGCCAACGGGTATCGAGGAAGTACGGGCATAATCCCTTCGAAGTTTTAATCTTTTTTTCATGTTTTCCGATTCATTTGTCGCTGACTTAGTTATGTTTCTTCTGTAGAATTTTTATTTGGACTTAGGACAACAGCATCACAGTGCGGATAGTACTCCTATCACAACCAGGCAACTTGAGTCACTCATAAGACTCACTCAGGTATAAACGTTAATTTCGCCATAAAGTCTTACTGTTGAATCAAGCATTAAGGTAACGAGAAAGATAGATATCATCATCACCATTTAAAGAAGCTCTTGATTGTTTAACGATGTCTCCTTGTCAGTACCATAGGAAATTTTTTGTAGATAACAGTGTAGAGAGCACGCGTGGAAATATCCGAGAGCTATTATAGTAGTTATTATATAGTCCTCGGTTTTCCGCAGAAATAAGACTCTATCAAAAGAAAACACTCCAAAAATTTGCTACCATCATTCTACTAAAAAACTCCATTCTACATGTGCCAATTAATGTTATTTGTTTTGAACTGATTTTTTAATTCTTTTCTTGTACGTGTTGTGCCATCAATGCTTGCGTCATTGCTTGTAATGAAAACATCTCCCAACAGAAATGCCCCAACATCGAACCGCAAAAATTTGTTCTCGCAAAACTTACAGAAAGAAACGCCATTCCGCATACAAGGAGGCGATTTCTAACGAGCACGGCTTGAGATGCGCGAAAAGGCTAGCCAACAAGACGGCAAGGATGTGGTGGAGATCATGAATTACAGGCTCCCGGACACGTTTAGCCACGACTTTGGAAATCTGGATTTTCAACGCTCTCAACATGGCTCCGGAAAGAGCTCAAGAGCACAGGTTAGTCTTCGTATGAAAGGAGGTTCGGTACTCATCGTCACGTACCCAGCAAAGTCTGTCTTAAATAATTGACAGAAGAGCTAACTGCGTTCATTTTTCCTTCGTTCGCTTATAAAATCTCTTTTTTAACACACAAGCATCAAATTCGCACAGAAAACTCCATTTTAGGCCACCAAGGGTAGAGCAAACGCCATTCTTTGCGGTGAGGCAGGTACTCAATAATGGTTTTATTCGCCTCATGGGTCTGTTGAATCATTCCTGTTATGGTTTTATTTGAGAGACTTTGTCTCAGTTTGTTAAGAAGGAGTTGAAGTCCGTGATTGCTGAATTCTTTTTATCTTGTAGTCAAAACGCTTTGTTGCAGAGCTAAGTCACATTTCAGAGAGGGAATACAACTCACTTTTCACTGTTGAACAAATGAGAATGATAGCGAAGGTAACTGGGACGCTTTTCTTTAGTAAGAACTTAACTTTAATAAGATTAATTTTCTAACAAATGAATACAATTGGAGCGAGAGTAGATCGGCTTCTCATATGGGCGCTATTTATTTGGGATATATTTTCCTGCATGTTCCTCACATGAGCAGATTGTGAACACTTTTCCATTGATTCTAATGTATCAAAATGCTGGCACTCCTTTCTATAATTAACATTAAAATATTTGATATCAGCACTTAAGAGATTACATTCCAAGAGTCGTTGGGTTCTCGATGATTTTAGAAATTTAAGTAGGCAAATAAGATCAAGAAGGTGTCTTTGTTTTTCACCTTTTTCCACCCATTAAATCTGGAGATACAAAGTTCAAGTTAAGAGTACTTTTTCTTAAATATGGTTGCTCCACTGGCGTGCCGCGCGCCCTGAAGTTTCGCAATCATTTAATGTGTGTCCGAAGTGTCTGGTTTGCCAGTCACTTCTTCTTGAATGATTCTCTCAGAGGGATCTCATCTAAAAAAGTTTCAGTTTGAAAAACACCTTTTTTCATGTTTACTTGTGATAGGATATACGACTGCAGATTCGTATTTTCGACGACTTTGTTTTCTCCCTGAACAACCAAGGGTTTCTTCTGAAGAAGGGACCGAGAGTCTACCAGCTACAGACCTCGAACTGCCTGTAATTGATAAGTAAGCTGCCGGGGATGTTTGATGGAGATTGTGTCCTGGAAGAGGGCAAGACCGTGTAAAAATACTAGACCTGTATCACTGAGGATATTCGGACGAAAGCTTTCTACGTTAAAATAAAAATTTGATTCCTTAGGTCCTCAAGTTAAGTTACACTCGTGCAGAAGAACTGAACTATTTAGTTAGTTTCTATTATACAGACGTGTTTTTTTCCTACAGTACCACAGTAACAAACCCCTCTAAAGTACAAATACTAAATGAAATCACGGATTAAGATTTAATGGCCTAAAGCGCTTCCAAAAAATTATGTTTCCATTCTTTTAATAATAAAAATAATAATAATAACAATGATAATCTGTCTTTAATAAATCAGAAACAACAAACGTGTAACTTTACAATATATCAGTAAGAAAATTATGAGCATATTTAGGAATATGTAAAAATCGTTGCATTGCAACATGTAATATTATGAAGTTCCCTATATATGGTGAATTTAATTGAAGAGGCATCTATTGAGGAAACAATGCTTGAAGCGTTCGGTTTTAACTCTAGGTAATATAAAGTCATGCTTGACTCACGGAGCACACGTCTCCTCTTTAGGGGTAGAAAATCATGAAGTACATGATCATCACTGATTACGTTGTTAAAAAGCTTAGAGTCCCTATCTTTAATTTAGTCAAGTATAGTTGTTTCTTTGTGGTGAAGCCAAACCTGAGGGCCTTCTTGAGAAACCAGTAGATTCTGTCTAGATATTTTCGCTGGTAAGCTGCACCCCAAACTTCAATCCCATGCAAGAATACGGACACGACGAGCGAGTTAAACAAATTATTTAGTTGATCTTTGAAAGATCCATAGGATTTGCATACCCTTAGAATGTACATTCAACTACTGGATTTGGATAGCATATCGTCAATATGGATGTCCCAGTTCGTAGTATCTTCCTGAAATGTGATTCCTAATATTTTTAGCCATGGCTTCCTTTTATTCCTGGTAATTCTGAAGGGGATAACTTAGTAGTTTTGCCGTGTATGCACATTTCCTATGTTTTGGTAAAATTGAGACATCTCGTTTTTATCCGCCCACTTCTTCATGTTCTCAACCTCAGCGGCAGCAATATCTGTGCTTTGCCTAACAGGAACACTTATCTTTTCAACCGAGTGTGCGTTTTTTTATAATCAGGGGTTCTTTTTAACTCGTGAATTGCGCGCATGCGCAAGAGCGAGTTATAGATACGATGTGGGGAAAGCCATTCGCTCGCTCGCTCGCTCGCTCGATTGGTCGATTCCTGTAAACTTTTTTTAGATTTTAGGCTTTTGAGTGCATTTGATAGTTTTTGGCAAGCAATAAACAGACGAAATGGCGACTTTTGTTGCTAAGAATAGTGGTGGGGTGAAAAAAGAAGCCAATGATAATCTTAAAAGAGTTTTTTTTTTTCGTTTTAGTTTCAACAAGCGGCGCCAGCGACTGGCAGGCATGCAAGGAATCACACTGAAATAACAGAACAACCTTCGTTTTTCATAAAATTGTAATTTACAATCCTTGAACTTGAAAACAATCCGAAGATTCATTGAGAATATCACTTACTGCGAAGCGCTCGGAGTTTACAGATGTTCAAAAGCTTTTTCTGTTATGGCGTGAGATTGAGGACAAAATTGATCATTACGTTTCGTCGCGTGTGTTTTTCCTGTGTGAAACAACAAAAGATGCCGGCGACTGACGAAATAACAAGTTAACACGAAAATCAAATAACACCTAAACAAACAATTTTAGCTGCCGATTTTCAGTGAATTTTTAAAGAACAATTTCTTTTAAGTTTCAAGACAATTTGAAGATTCAACATACATACAACGTACTAAAATGCGAAAGTTACACACCACAAAATTGATAAATAGGCCTGAAATGAAATTCTATATTGTTATTGATTATACGTTGCCTAGCACGTGACTTAAATCTACCCAGGCGGAGATCCAAAATGACGGTGGCAGGCTTGGCTTAGTTATATCACTCAAAACTCGTTCCCGTTTGTCTCATTTGATACAAAGGGAATCGTTAATGTTTTCATTAAGACAGTATTGCCTTTATTTTCTAATATTTACAACGAAAGACAGTAAATTTCACTTTTCACCCACATTTACTTCCAACCTTTTCTTTTGAACCAGAAACAAAAATGATAGACGTTTAAAACATATGACATCATCCACCTTGTCAAATGTAATAGCATGATCATTTCAATTGTAATGCCTTCTTATCCCAACGTTACTTTGTTTCTTTGCTACATTAGCGAACACTGAACTACTGCTCGTACTCTAGATATGACAATCAACCACAAAATTCCCTAAACCAGATAACATTAAACATAGTCTAAAAAATCATGTGTCAATTCACGAGTTTGCTCACAGAGCACTTTGATTTTAACACTCCCGACGAATTTTCTTTTGTGAAGACCTTCTAACTCGTAAACCGTAACCTGTAGCTTGCCAACAGAATCTCATGAAGGAATATAATCGCTTGTACAACCGTTCAAAGCACCTCTTCTAATTTAATCATAATAACGAAAGCCAACACCGAGGGGAAAGGGTCGTAGAAATTTCTCCACTTGGTTAAAGCATCCATTTGACGTTACAACGCTACAATACCTTTGCGATGTCCACTCATAAGACGGATATTTGTCATGTGACAATAAACTAGAAAAACATCGGGGCCACCTGCAAATGAATCAAAAATTGTAAATAACTGGGTCTCATTCCCTTCGCAGGTTAGCCGAATTGGTTTAGAGTTACTGTTGTGGGTATGGAAGGTGTCTATTCATCATTGTTGTCGTTTAGGTAATATCGCGATTTTTAAGCTGGTATATTGCTAAAACGAACGCAAAAGAGAAGATTGCTACTCCAACCATCGACATCTTCCTGTTATTAAAAATGCCTTAGAATTATCTAAGTGACTGAGGTTATTCTTTTTGCCGTGAGGTTTTTTCTTTCAGAGTGCCTCTCTTTACCCAGGAGTATAAATGAGTAGTGAATTGTCAGGGAAGCCTGATGAAATTTTGGGGAGGTAACCTTGCAAAGAATCGGCATCCTCTCTGGGGGGGGGGAGGTTTATCTGTAACATCTGGAATTTAGTGTTGCCTTGACTTGAATGGGCTTTGTAGGCTCAGAGTTTAGTTGTGTGCACCTATACACTCTGTTCTGGATTTTTACATCACGCAGATCAAAGCTAAAGAATTGTGTGCTAGTTGCAGCCTTCTTAGATCTGCATTTCTTTATTTTATATGATGTTCTTCTACCCACTGTAAAGAACAAACACAGGAAATAGCGGTATGTCTTATTATGTCTTAAGGTGCAGCTAAAGCTTGTCTTGCCATTGCCATCCGTTACTCAGCAACTCGTTTTACAGTGGGTCCTGATGGCAAATCTGACACATCCATTCTCAAGTATCAGCTCCAACGGAACGCTCTGGTGCCACTTCTGGCTGCTACTTACGCCATGGATTTTGCACTGCAATATATAAAAGATCGCTGAGCTTTTCAGGTACTGTGGCCTTGCAAAACGTCTTGTGTCTAACAAAGAATGATTGGAACAGTACGTGTATTTTTGTCCTTGTTTTTTAGTGGAGAATGTTATTATTCCACTCTTGGAAGTTGCATATGGGATATCCGAACTATAGCCTCTATCTAGTATCTTGAAAATACGTTTATCTGTTCCAACGAGTGAACAGTTTTGCGAGAGTAAAGCTCGAGGAAAACTGTGAGCAGCAGAGGCTCAGCGAGGTCCTGATACAGCTTTGTTTAAGATCTTATTCCATTTCCTTCATAGGCAGCTGATGGATCTGAGCATGCGGATGTGGTGATTATGTGTTGTGTTATAAAGGCTATAACTGGCTGGCATGTTGCTGAAACAGCTGCTATTTCCCGCGAGAGGTGTGGGGGCCAAGGGTATCTGTCCTGTAACAAGTTTGGCAGTGGTATCGCTGGTTCGCATTCCTCCATGACGGCCGAAGGGGACAACTCAGTCCTGATGCAGAAGGTGGCTTCAGAAAGGCTGATGAGTCTCAAGCCATCCATGTTGGAGGTAGCGGCCAGCTATGTGCCGAAGGCTGTGACCCGGATCTTCGGTTGGGCCAATCTCAACAACCCGAAATACTTGCAGGAGCTTTTAGGGTCACGAGAGAAAGATCTATTTTTGAGCCTTGGAATGAATATGATGAAGGCTGGGAAGGAGGGAAGATTTGACACCTGGATGTACATGGAACAGGATCTTGTCCAAGCTGCTGCTCGTGTGTATGGTGAACGACTCATCAGTGAATGTTTTGGCAAAGCTCTTGATAAAGCTGACCCTGGTCTGCAACCAGTTCTCCAGAAACTTCATCATCTCTATCAGATGTCAGTCATCAAGAAGGATCTCGGCTACTTCACCACCTCGGGGCTGATGTCTACGTGGACTGGGGCTAAAGTTGGGAAGGCAGCTGCTGACCTGTGTCGAGAAGTGGCACCGCAGGCCACTGCACTGTGTGATGCATTTGGATTCACCGACGAAATGCTTAATGCCCCAATTGCAAGAGACTGGGTCAAATATAATGCAGTTGATAGTAAAGGGGAAGTCGAAGGTGTGCAGTATTGATGCTGCCACCCGAAATTCGCTCAACCTTGTGAACGAACCCTTTTTTTTCTGAAAGCTCCTGAAACAAAAAACTTGTCGTAAATTAGAATCACAGTGAACCATGTTCCTCAGGTGTATGTGCTAATAAAATAATTCCTCCATAGTTATTTAAGTGTTGGCTTTCTCTACTAGCTAGAAGTTATGTTTCGTCGTTGGGAATTTGGTTTGTTTCACTTATTTAGTGTTAGAAAGAAAAAGAACTGAGCTGAGCTATTTAATAAGCCATCGTGCATTTAAATAGGAGGTGGGGAGGGGGGGTAAGTTTCTGAAGAAACTGCTGTGCTGCGTCGGTGGGGTGGGTTCGGTGGACGTTTCGAGCGTTAGCCCTTCACTCTGGGAGGATGGTAGCGGTCAAGTTTGGCAAGTTTTCATTTCCAACATGCGTGAATGTTTCTTTTCATCACATCTCCCTTAACTGCAAACGAAGATTTAGAAGGGAGCCAACGTTTATACCAAAGTTTAATGCGAATCTATGACGTAATAATAACAATACGATCAAGAATTCTAATGTCAGAGGAAGGAAAATGACGGAATATTTTGATTTTCAGAATTTATTTCCTCTCTCTGTTATAGGGGTGGGGTGAGGGCGGGGGGGAGGGGGTGGGTGGGAGAAAGAGGTTGAATCAAATCCACCGAGAGATGGGGATGTCAGTCCATTAGTGGACGTGCACATCTTTGGCTATGTAGGTGCACTAATTTTTATTAGATCCTGGGTTAAATTTTTGGCAGGGTAATTTTTTATTTGAGGTTCAAGAAAAAGGCTTAAACCCCTTCGGCTGTGACACCTAGAACCGGAACCTTTTTGTGATACTTTTTCATCATAATGGCTTAGAGGTCTACATATTTAATCTTTGTTGTATTATGATCTAAAGAGCAGGAACAGAATTGAGGACAAAATAAAGTATTCTTTTCCTGAGTTAGGCGGTAATATAATTGTGGTTGACTTAAACATGTCTTCACCATACACGTGATTATTTATTGATTCATTTTGAAATAAAGTCTTGAGATAAATTTGTCGCACGAAAGATTCGTTTTTGTCATTAGTAAGTTGTGGTTGTGATTCATTTTTAGCCGTGTTGAGATATCACATACCTTCACTCTCCTTACCCTACACTTTCTTTCCTTTTGTCAACCAAAAAAAGGGGTAATAATGATTTACAAAGGAACGAGGATTGCAAACAGTAAACTTGGAGAGTCTTAAACTTTGCAAGAAATTTTGACATGTGTAATTTTTCATCCGTGGCTAAGTAATTTTTCAAATGAATAAAGAGGGTAAGTTTCTGAAGAAACTGTGATGCTCCGTCGGTGGGAGAGTATAACAGGGTAATTTAGTATTATCAACTGGGTTGATAACGTAAATTGGCCATCGTAAAGAGTTTAGAAGCTGACGTTTCGAGCGTTAGCCCTTCGTCTACTGCTCTTACGAAGTGCTGCTATTTGAAGAAAAAAATAACTGAAAAACAAGCCATGCATTTTTATCAGTAATTGCCATAGCAACAACATTTAGGTTCTGAAAGAGTCGTCCATAGTAGTCCAAGGCTGTAGGTTTTTATTACTGACCTTCTACCGAGTGCTATGCGATAAACATTTGCCAAGGGAGAAATTATTTATGCATATGTGATATCCAAAGCCTTGTAAAGTACTCTATAGAGCCACCTTAAATATATTTCTTGAAATGAACGACACTTTTAAAATAAAAAAAAACATGTTTCAATGGTTCTTCTGTCATCGTCAGTTCTATACGCTCATATTTCTCTGCTATGTCGTGGATGATATGAGTACATAGAACTGAAGATGACAGAAGAACTGTGGAAATATATATGTTTTTTAATTTTAAAAGTGTCGTTCTTTTTCTTGAATTCGTTACGCATCTGCTTCTATCCAGATCTTTTGGTAATATTATCCACGACATAGCAGAGAAATATGAGCACATAGAACTGAAGATGACAGAAGAACTGTGGAAATATATATGTTTTTAATTTTAAAAGTGTCGTTCATTTTCTTAAATTCGTTACATATCTGCCTCTATAAGCACAGGTATCACTTCTGATAGGTTGATAAATATTGCAATTTAATGTGAGACCAGATAAGGCATAAGTAAAGTATCACTTCTGATTGGGAGGTTTCGAAAATAATCAGTATAGTAATTAAATATGTTAAATATTCCATTATGATATTGGCAATATCAGTGGGAGTGAGTGGGAGGTTTCGAAAATAATCAGTAATTAATTAAATATGTTAAATATTCCATTATGATATTGGCAATATCATCCACGATATAGCAGAGAAATATGAGCACATAGAACTGAAGATGACAGAAAAACTGTGGAAATATGTTTTTTAATTTTAAAAGTGTCGTTCATTTTCTTAAATTCATTACATATCTGCTTCTATCCAGATCTTTTGACAATATCATCCACGACATAGCAGAGAAATATGAGCACATAGAACTGAAGATGACAGAAAATCTGTGGAAACATGTTTTTTAATTTTTAAAGTGTCGTTCATTTTCTTAAATTCGTTACATATCTGCTTCTATAAGCACAGGTATCACCTCTGATTGGTTGATAGATATTGAAATTTAATATGAGACCAGATAAGGAATAAGTATAGTATCGCTTCTGAGTGGGAGGTTTCGAAAATAATCAATATAGTAATTAAATACATTAAATATTCCAGATAATAAACGTTGATATAACTTTTCAGTATTACTACACTTGTTCAGTAACGCTAAGTAAATCAATTATCACACTGTTTGGAAAAAAAAAGTTATCCATGCTTTATAGATATCTGAATTGTATTTTTCTTCGAACTAATTCCTATAATCAATTTCCGTCTTCAAAAGTCTTGTTTTTTTTTTTTGTTTTTTTTTAAAAACGCCTTGTTTTTTTTAATTGTATTGATCTCACAACTTCCTTTACCGATCCCCTTGGGATTATATTTGATTGACAGATTGTTCTGGTTTTGGTTTGTAGAAAACTCAAGAGCAAAAGGACAATCGTTTATTAGAAGTGTCCTTCCCGGAGAATTGAGACAGAACACACCCAAGGTAGGTTATGGTTCGTCTTAGGATGCAAAGCTGATTCAAGTTTATAAAAACAGAGACCACATTAAATCCAAAAATCCTGACCTTCACCCTGTTTCGTATGTAAAACCTTTACCACATGATCCTCGAAGAAACCGCTAGGGAAACTCTTAGAACAAAATCTGCTGTAAGAAAAAACAGTTATTACCTTACTTGAGAATTTCAAGATTATCTGAATTTGATGAATTCACTTCTTCTGCCATTCACGCCCGTTACTGCTTCAGTAAGTCGTTCATTTCGTTTATCACTCCCATGATTACAGACTTAGTTGGGCTTCCACTTAAATATGTCATTCTTCATTACTTTTTGTTTTATTTTTTAGCTTCGTACTTTTTTATACTCAATCACCATTACTTATGGTTGATTTAACCAAACCCGATCCTCGGATGTAACGTAATGTTTGAATTGAATGAAATTATAAATTCTATCTTATTTTTGTCTCTCTGTAGGGATTTGCTAAACATGAGAAACTTGGTCATTTTGTTGATTTTCGTGAGCTGTGCATTGTCTGTGGCGGCTGGTAAGTGCAGAACGAAACTTAAAATTCTTTCACGTGACTCTGAATGCGAAGGAGGAGAGATTGTGAGCTGGAGTTGGTTGGTTACAGCTCCTTACCCCATGAAAACTTTCTACATTGGAGAATGGTGGGGTGTGATCTAGGAAATTTTAATCAGCTCGGTGACCAAGGCTAGGGTTCGCCACATTATGCTCGATATTTTACATCATTAGTTTATTTCTTAATGCTCGGAAAATGTCACGATTACGCTCAGTTAGCATCGCTGTTGTGTTGCATCACAATTAATATGAGAACTTCTGGAAGCCATTTTTTTTCTTCTTTGTAACCAGGCGTGGCCTTGTTTTATGGTACCTGGCTAATTTTTAACTAGGCCTATTCTTAAAGTTTAATAATATGTTATTCCTTATTTATTTTTAACTCGTGGATACGCGATAGCGCAGAAACGAGTTGTTGTGGGGACTTTGGGATATGCAAATTGGCGTGAACTCCTCGTAATTAGTCGCAAATTTGAAGGATCTTCGAATCTTCCATCCGCTAAACATAACGAGGAGCAGCGAGAATCACGAAGTGTTTGTGAGTGACAGAGAGAGAGCTGTTGACATGGAAATTGGAAATCCCACGGAAACATGTACCCATTGTTGTGTGATCTTCCAGAATGTTTTAGAAGTAGCTGTGTCATCCCTGAATCAATATATAAATAGAATCTATTGTAATGTTACGGAACGTTCTAGATCCTCAACCGTACCTATAAAAGCCGAGCTTGTAACTAGATGTAGCGAGTAGTTTAGTTGCTGGTATAGCCCGTCAGATATCAATAAAGGTGTATGCTGCAGAATACAAGACGTCCACACTTCACCCATGACATAAAAGAAATGTTAATTTACAGCATAATTTCTTTCGTTTACGCCAATTTCGGTCTTTTCGTTATAGTCGTTTCGTTTTGTTATTTTTCTATGCAATCGTGACTGTTCTGATGGTAAGAATGAATTATGATCGGTCTCTACAAGTCGTTGCCGAGCACGTGACCATAATCTGACCGGTGTTGTTTTGATCACTTGACGATCTTTTTCGCTCAAAACACACGACGACTTCCCATTTCGAGAAATGCATTTCCAATTAATTTCTATCGCATCCGTGGAAAAAAATACAAGCATGTGGGTGTACTGAAAAACAAAAGGGAAATTTAAAACTACAAGAAATTGCGAGTAATCGGTCTCTTCTGCTACACGCAGGTTTTTTTGGTGTAACATGCGTGTTTTCCATAAGTTTCAAGCACTTTACGCACGGTATAAGCAATACAAGGTAGAATGGCTACTGTCAACCTGGAGTGATTATGTGCGATATTTTGCTTCATCACTC